TTGGGTAAAAATACCCCAAACATTTGCCCCTCACAGGTCGCACGTGCATGTCACGTGGGGCCTGTGACACGTGTCCACCTTTTATAGGTGAACGGTAACGGGTAAAATTTTGAATTTCAAATCAAAATTTTCCCCCCATTTTTACTTTCTATAAATAGAAAGTTACCCCCCGCCTGCATAATCAGCGAGTTTCAAGCTTCCGAGTGCTAGCAGTACATTACCCGGTTCACCGGCTGTAGCGGTTTTCAGATTTTCTAGAGACAAAGCAAGGTAACCGCCTGTACCATTTTAGCTTTTCTCCCCTTCAATTTACATACCATTTTTTTCGTCTGTATGCCCGACTTTCTTTAGAAAATAGAAAATATAAATGAGTTCCCAATCCACCCACTCGGCACTGCCTAGGACACTCAGCCGATCCCCCGGAACGGTTGAGTCTAGAACAGAAGGTGCCTCTTCTGGACTGTCGGAACCAATATGCTCATCTCCGAATTCCTCCTTCTATGTGTCTGTGAAGGACACAATGGCCAGAACGAAACAAACGGCCAGGTAGTCTAAAAGCCGGCGCACCATGAGAGTGCCAGCCGATGAGGTTTTCCTGAAAGGGGATCCGAGGAATTGGGAGGAGAGCGGATCTGACGAAGAGGCTCCCTCTACCTCCAGGAGCTCTGGAGTAAGAGAAGTGGACGGCGAAGGAGCCTTGGGCTTAAAAAACGGTCATGCTCCTCCAATGTCTGTAGTTGCTACATGAAAACCCGAGAAAATGCTCCAAAAGTGCATTTTTCTACAAAACTCAACCAAAACGACGAAAACACCAGTTATTAATAAAAGTGGCTCGAAAGAGCCAAAAACACTACTAATTATGACCAAGGGACGGGGGTAAAATACTATATAAATTAGACACATCAAACTCCCCCAAGCCAAACCTTTGCTTGTAACTAAGCAAAGAGCTCATCAATGAACATATAAAACATGCCTCACCCCAAGGAATCAAAATCAAGCACAAACGATTCAAGGCAAATCTAATAAACATGCTTCAATGTCAATCAATCTCATTCATCTAATCACTCTTCCTCCCCAACAATTGTCAAGTAGAGCAAACCACATGAGCATATAGAATTCAAGACTAGTGCGCACACACTCAACTCTCATTTATGTGGAGAGTAAAAGATATACTCGATCGCTCTCCATCCCAACCCCTTTTATGGGAACAATTGCCTCCCAACTCACACTCTCATGTGTTTAAGAAGATAAACACTCAACCTACTATTCGACTCGAAATATGTCAAGTCATAACTTACATTGATAAACAACACTTTCACATTCATATAACTTTATGCACAATGGTCGGAAGGTCTTTAAAGCTTGTAATGCAAGGCTAGGGTAAAGGGTAGGAAACATTTAGGAAAATGTGGGAGAAAAGCCATGCTTAAGGGAGCCATATCCTAACAAAACCGAAGGTCAAAAATAAACAATGACCAAATCATCTCCAATCATAACTTAACTCCACAAAAGTTCACCAAACAATCCCTTACATAACAACAATCCCAACACTTACACATTCACTCACAAAAATATGATAATAAAGAATTAGAGTGAAATAAAACAAACTTTGAACTCATTTTTTTTTTTTTTGAATTCTTTTCTCTTTTTTTTTTCTTGAGCAACCTTCACATAGAACATTTGAATATTTGAAACAAATTTTTTTTCTTTTGCTCTTTTTTCTTTTCTTTTTATCTCACATTGAAAAAAAGTTAATCCTCGATCAACAAACTATCAACAATTTTTCCAACCACAAAATCAAAAGAGCAAAAACTCTTCTTTTATTCCCACATTGTGCAAATGATATGCACATCACAACTCCCTCACCTCACTAACTAATAGCTCCCTCAAGCCAAGCTTGGGACTAATAACCAATGCGGCTCATATAGGCTTGTAATGTGGCTAAATAATCAATAAAAGGACACAAGCAACAACATGGGTAGCAAGAAGGGAACAAATGTATCTAATATCGTCTGAAGGCTACCTAAAAGAACAAATGCCTTCGTCCTCCTCAATGTGCATAATATTGAGCCATACAAACATTACTCATGGTTGCAAACCAATACTCAAATTCCTTGACAAACCAGGAACTATCACACAATTCCTAACCAAATCAACTAGTAAAGCACTATATTCACAAATAGTTGGGCAAAATTGACGCATGTTTAGGCTTCCGAACAATCAAACTTCAAATCATGATCAACAAATTCACAATGCTCATTATCATATACCAAGAATCAAAACAATATTTTTCAAGTATGGGGCACATGGAAGCATGATTTACAATTCATTGGAACGTATTTTTGGATTTTTTTTTCAATTTTTTTTTGTATTTTTCATATAGGAAAGTAATAAAAACTACATTAGAAAGCAATTAAATATATACTAGAAAGCAATAAATAGAGAAAAGAGACAGAGTTACCATATGTACAACATCATCTCCCCCCCAAGCCAAATCAAGCAATGCCCTCATTGACTTGGGGGTGTAGCTAGGAGTAGCTACTCCTCATCATCATCCTCATCCATCCTTGAGTAGCCTCCACCATGGCTAGAGCCGACACCTCCATGGATCGAACCAACGCCACCATAACTCGAACAACTTGCAAAGTAGTTAGGGTCCACATTCCCCCCAATCCCACCAAAAGGAGCATCGACCCCATAACCATGGACCGAAGAATAGTCCACATAACTACCATAGGCACCAGGGGTCGAATACCCTCCTTGGGGGTATTGAAACCAATCGGGAAGAAGAGCCTCGGGGGGGATAGCCACTTGGCGTGCATAGTCATCGTACATGGGGTATAAACCCCTCCCTAGGTTTCTCTCCACATACCCAACCCTCCTATCTAGAGAACCTACTCTAGTGTCAAGGTTTTGCACTTAACCCTCTACTCTTCCTTGTCCCCTCCCAATCCTATCGAGCTGGCTCCTAAAAGCTAAAAAGTCATATGGCAGTGAGGGTCAATGTTATAACCAACGGAAGAGGTAGGGATGTCATGTGAGTAGGGTTGGGGTGGTGGTTGTAATTGAGGTTGTGGGTGGGGTGGTGTATGGTGAGCCGCTTGAGCCTCCCCTTGACCATCTAACTCGAATGTGTAGGAAGGATTACCCTTATCAAATTTAGTCAAGGTGGGGTTGGGTAGCTTAAAGGCTTGGTCTCTCCTACCCGACTCTCGGTGAATTATCCACCATGTCTCACCACCCATGGGTTGGATCCAATTAAGGCCTCCTAGGTAAGCAAGGTTCATAAGGGTAGAACCCCCTACTTTCCTATGGCTAGTAGGTGTGAAGCCTAGTTGTTTGATCGCAATGTGGGTAACCAACCAACCAAAATAGATAGGTGCCCTAGACCTACCCCCTTCGGCCGCATTGGCCGCCCTTTGGAAGTGTTGGGCTATCCTATGTGGGATGTTCAAATTTTCAGCGCTAGGAATCACATAGGAGGCCAAAAACTATAGCTCATCCGTCCTAACATTAGCCAGTTCATGCCTCCCAAAGATGGTGAGGCCAACAAACCGTTGCCAAAATTTTGGCACGGGATGTTGAATCCAAGTTCCCTTGGCATGTTGGAGGTTAGTTAAACCCTCCCCTGTGAGTTTTTTATAGACCACGACAATATGGTCTTGGGAAGGTTCAATGGGTTTATCCGATTTTAGCTCAAATAATTTACCAAATTCTTTCAAAGTCATTCGCATTGAACATGAGTAATCAAAGCATTAGATTTAATCACATTAAAACTAGAAATAAATTCCAACGTCAAATAATCATAAGTATCATAATGCATTTGAAAAAAAACCACTCATTCCAACACCCTTGAACAATTTTTCTACCGGTTTATCAATTCCTAATCTAGACAATGTAGGATGATGTACAAAGCGAGTAGAAATTACCTGCCTCTGAATGAGGTTAAGCATCCTTGCCCGTTGTTCGGTTGAGGTGATCACCACCTTGCTCCACCTCGAAATTTGGAGTTCTGGGTCAACCATTGGTGGTTGATGTTGCCTTGAACTTTCACCCCTTTGTTGCCTTGATCACTTGGAAGACATTGGAGTAGGAATTTGATGAATTTGAAGCTTTCTCTCTCTTAGGGTTTTCACAAATGTTGAGAGAAAGTGGGAAAAATTGTATTGAGAATGTAGAGGAAGGTGAGAGGATGAAGATTATGTGAAAATTTATGAGTTTTGATGGGAGAATTGGAGGAGATCTTGAAGAGAAAGTGAGTTTGAAGGTATGAAATTGGAGTTTAGAGAGAAAAAGTGAATGAAGAATATGAAATAAGGAGAAGAAGAGAAGGGAGGAGAAAAAGAAGTTAAGTATCACGGCCTAATTTAGGCGCGCGCGATCGGGCGAGCTTTTGCCCGATCGGGCGAATTACTTTATTCTCAAAGCCGCAATTACGCGCCCGATCGGGCGCAAACTTGAAGTATTTTTCTCTATCCAACTCGCCCGACCGGGCGACCCGATCGAGCGAGATTCGCCCGACATTTCTTTTTCCTTCACTCGATTTCTCCAAAATTGCGCCCGATCAGGCACCTTTGCCCGATCAGGCGAATTTCCCTTGAATTTATCTCCTCACTTGCGCGCCCGATCGGGTTAGCCTCGCCCGATCGGACGAGTTCAAGCTCAGAAATATCTTAACTTGCGCGCCCGATCGGGACTCCTTTCCCGATCGGGCAAATTTTTGCTCGACTTCGTGCGTTATGTGCGCGCCCGATCGGGCCCGTGCCCAGCTCGGAGTATTCAAAATTCTTCTACTTTTTCTCTTTAAATCTCCTTACTTGTTGCTTTAATACCTGTACAAAAACACTTTGGAAAGGTAAAATTGCATTCTCCTCACCTCTCTAAAAAAAATAAAAAATAAAGGAAAGGAAAAACTAGTTTAGAAAGCAATAAATACGGGTTGCCACCCGCAAAGTGCTGGTTTATCTAGGTCTCGCACGACATTCTTACAACTATGTGGCTCAAGATGGAAGTGGAGTTAGGAGGGTTTCCTCCACATCTATTACAGTAGCGCCCTCATGATACACCATCAATAGTTGGCCATTCACCTTGAACTCTTCACCTTTATCATTCACTAGCTCAACCGAACCAAACTTGTTCACCTTAGTGACAGTGAAGGGGCCTGACCACCTAGACTTTAGTTTTCCTGGAAGAATCTTCAATCTAGAGTTAAAGAGTAGAACCTTATCAACTGGTACAAACTCTTTTGGTAGGATCCTCTTGTCGTGCCACTTCTTGGTCTTTTTCTTGTAGATTCGTGCACTATCATACGCCGACAATCTAAACTCAACCAACTCATTGAGTTGGAGAAGTCTTTTCTTACCCGCAACCTTAGAATCCATGTTAAGCTCCTTGATTGCCCAAAAAGCTTTGTATTCCAACTCCACGGGAAGATGACATGCCTTACCATATACTAGTCTATAAGGTAAAGTACCAATTGGTGTCTTAAATGCGGTTAGATACGCCCAAAGTGTGTCATCTAGCTTCATACTCCAATATTTCCTTGACTTGGCCACTACCTTCTCTAGAATCGCCTAGATTTCCCTATTAGAGACCTCAACTTGACCACTAGTTTTAGGGTGGTAACTAAGTCCGGTTCTATGATATACTCCATACTTCTTTAGGAGGTTGTCCAATTGTCTTTCTAGGAAGTGAGTACCTCCATCACTGATGATAGCTCATGGGACACCAAACCTTGGAAATATGGTCTTCTTGAAGAGCTTAATGACTACCTTGGCATCATTTGTTGGTGAAGCTATGGCCTCGACCCACTTGGACACATAGTCAATGGCTACAAGTATGTAACAATTCCCATTGGAAGATGGGAACGGTCCCATATAGTCAATCCCCCAAACATAAAATATTTCTACCTCAAGAATCCCAGTTTGGGGCATCTCATGCCGCCACGAGATGTTGCCAGTCATCTGGCAAGAATCATAAGCCTGCACAAAAGTGTTAGCATCCTTAAACATTGTGGGCCAGTAAAAACCCAACTCATTAATCTTGGCCACCATTTTGGTGGGGCCATGATTTCCTCCATAAGGTGAGGTGTGACAACTAGTAAGTACGCCGTGAACTTCCCATTCGGGAACACACCTGCGAAATAATCCATCTGCACACTCACGAAACAAAAAAGGATCATCCCAAAAATAATGTTTAACATCAGAAAGGAATTTCTTTTTCTGTTAGTAGGACAAGTCAGGAGGTAGAGTACCACCTACGAAATAGTTAGAAAAATCGGCATGCCAAGGGTGTTGCTCTACAACTGCATACATGTTGTCATCAGGGAAAGAATCATCTATAGGAAGAGAATCCTTACCCTCATCATACCTGATACGTGACAAGTGGTCTGCCACCACGTTCTCTGCACCCTTTTTGTCCTTTATCTCAATATTAAAATCCTAGAGCAAGAGAACCCAACGGAGTAGCTGAGGCTTTGATTCCGCCTTGGCTATCAAGTACTTTAAAGTTACATGATCAGTAAAAACAATAACTTTAAAACCAATAAGATATGATTTAAATTTTTCTAAAGCATAAATCGCAGCAAGAAACTCCTTCTCCGTGGTGGCATAGCTGACTTGGGCCTCATCCAAAGTTTTACTTGCATAATAAATAGCATGAAAAACTTTGTTCTTTCTTTATCCAAGCACGGCTCCTAGTGCAAAGTCACTTGCATCACACATAATCTCGAAAGGAAGATTTCAATCGGGTGCACATATGATGAGTGTCGATTTAAAAGCCTGCTTTATCCTGTTAAAAGCCTCAAGACACTCATTAGTAAAAACAAAAGGGGCATCCTTGAGTAAAAGCTGAGTTAGTGGTTTAGCAATTTTAGAAAAATCTTTGATAAAGCGACGTTAAAACCCTGCATGACCTAAGAAACTTCTAACTCCCTTAACATTAACTGAGGGAGGTAATTGCTCAATCACAGAAATCATAGCTTTATATACCTGTATACCCTTATCAGATACAATATGACCTAGAACTACTTCCTCTGTCACCATAAAGTGACATTTCTCCCAATTTAGAACCAAATTACATTCTTCACATCTTTTCAAGATTTTAGCAAGATTTTTTAAGCATGCATCAAATGAAGAACCATACACACTAAAATAATCCATAAAGACTTCCATAATAGACTCAATGAAATCAGAAAATGTTCATCATGCAACATTGAAAGGTAGAGGGGGCATTACATAAACCAAAGGGCATCCTACGATATGCAAAAGTACCCTAAGGACATGTAAATATAGTATTTTCCTTATCTTCAGGGTGAATTGGAATTTGGAAAAATCCCGAATACCCATCCAAATAACAAAAGAACTTATGATTAGCTAACCTTTCAAGCATTTGATCAATATAGGGAAGGGGGAAGTCGTCTTTTTTAGCGGCGATATTTAATCTATGATAATCAATGCACATACGCCACCCTGTAACAGTTCTAGTGGGAATCAATTCATTTTTCTCGTTTTTAATCACAATCATCCTACCCTTTTTAGGAACCACCTGTACAGGACTTACCCACTTAGAGTCAGAAATAAGATAGATAATACCTGCATCAAGTAATTTCATAACCTCTTTCTTGACTACTTCTTGCATATTAGGATTCAACCTTCTCTGGGGTTGAATACATGGCTTATAGTTGTCCTCTAAATGTATCCTACGCATACAAAAATCAGGGCTAATACCCTTAAGATCATCAATATTGTACCCAATTGCTCTTTTATGGGTTCGAAGAACCTCTAGAAGTTGGGAAGTTTGTGGGTCATTGTATGGAATATTTCAAGCATTACCCAAAACTTGAACCCCATTGTGATCATACACTTAAGCATGGTGGCGTCCAAAGGGAAGTAAGCTAGAGCAAATGAGTCGCCAATAAGTTTTAGGAAGTTGTAAACCGTTCACATGGTGAAGGTTACATCCCTTAACAATCCAGGAGATCGTTAACTCCAATAGGTCTGGAACCATGACAGGTGTTCAGAGATGAAGGTACAAATCCAACCTAAAAGAGATTGAACCTGCCCTAATAATAGGCCTCTACTTTATTCTGACCGTATTCATGTGCGCTTTCTGACTAACATGCAATCAATAGGTTTAACCCTAAACCTGTTTATCTATGTTGGTTGAATATTAATGCACAAATAAAATTATTATTGGTGATCACATGAATTATAATCAAATTAACCCTAAACAAGATTATTAATTATCTTATTAAGCGTTATTACAAGTACCAATTCCCTTTAAACATGCATAAAAGGCGTGGTCAAGCAATAACAATAAATAAAAATCAAGCAACATAATAATCATAATCATAACAATTATAGAAATAATCATGGTAATCATGTTAAAGCATAATAATAGCAAGATCCTAGACATGATACTAACAAGATTAATAACAAACCCTAACATGTCACTAAACATATAAAAATCAAATATATAGCCCTAACATGATACTATTAGGAAAGAAAATAGGAAGCATCGCAGGAATCATAATAAGAATATTTAATATTATAACCTTTTCCCTAAACATAATACTAGGAATCTTTGTTGTCATTCAAAACATCAATCATCCCAACATGATAATAGGAATCATAATAACAACCTAGACATGATTTCTATATCATAATATCAATGCAAACAATTAAAGTACTTACTTGGATGCCTCGTATCTCTTTCTAATAACAAAATACACACGTTAATAATTTCAAGGAAAATATAAAAAAACAATTAAATTAAATAATTGAAATAAATATTAGGGACCAAACCCTCAGAAATTAAAATCTTTCACGTCTAGGGCGAAGGCAACTTCGAACTTGGCTAGGTGTGTCTAGTGCTAATGTATTAGGAATTTTGTTTATAAATGGCTAGGCTAGAAAGAGTGAGAGAGAATTAATAAATTCATGATGAGAGTTGATTATTGAAAAAGGGAAGGTATGACCTCTATTTATAGAGAAAAAAGAGAGTCGAAGAATAAGAAAAGAATCTGAATTCGAATCGAAATAAAACTCGATGGACAACAGTTTTACGGATTTTGGTTTTATCATATATTTTGATCCATATATTCAAATAAGGAATATAATATGTAGTTAAAAATATCATTAAGTCTACTTTCCAACACAATAAGAATCAGATTAAAATCTTTTGTAGATAAAAAGATATGGCCGAAATAGTAGGAAGGTGTCAGTTTTGGATAGAGTTTTGTATCTCATTCATATCTTTTTCGTTATAGCTCGGAATTAATATTATAATATATCATTGGAAAGAAAATTTCAAGATCTATCCAAACATATAAAATTTTGATAAATATTTTGAGGCGTGATAATAAAATCTGACTGTCTTTGAACATCTTAAAATTCGAATAGAATTAGGATTTAAGAAAAATGAAAGTTTTAAAAAAGAAAAGTTTTTATTTAACTCAAATTCTTTAATCTTATATTTTCAAAAAGGATAATTAAGATTATTTAGAAACTTATAGAAGCTTATAATTAATCCTAATTAGTTTAGGAATAGGATTAGATCTTTGGACCCTCCACATGATCATTGGGCCGTAGGTAAGATCCGGTTCGAGCACAGTTTAGTATTTTTGCCATAACTTCCTCATTATTCATCGAAATTGGGCTTATAATATATCGTTGGAAAGGTATTTTCAATCCCCATCCAATTACACCATTATTGGACCATATCATGGACCAAACTAAACTTGAATGCACATTTTTCAAAAATAGGGTAAAAAAAGAAATATTTTCAAAAACAAAAAGAAGAGATATTTTAATAAAAACATCGTCATCAATAGACTTTTCACACTTTTGATTTTTTTGATAATTAAATGACATGAAAGGTATTAATCACTGGGTTTGGTTTTTGGGAAACACAAATGGGTGTCTACAGAAGCCCCCACTTTGACTGAGTTTGGAGAAATGCAAGTTTCGAAAACAAAAGTCAAAGTATCGATAGGGACGGAGACTGATTCAGAATGTTCTCATATTCTAAATCATTCTTGTAACGCCGATACCTGCAAACTAGCGTTAGTTAGAACAGATAAAAGAGTTAAGAAACGTGTATCTTGCACCGTCGAGCATACGTCTCTAAGGGTAACCGATTTGTTGTTGGTGTTGTTGTTGTTGTTGTTGTTGTTGTTGTTGTTGTGACAACCTTCCACAATCTAAGGAACGCCATCCTCCTGTTTTTTTTGACGATCTTCTACAAGCTAGAGAATAACGCCTGAAGACTGCTACGCATGTAACTGCCTCTAATTTCCGCCGTGACAGTCTTGAAAAAGACCACTGCTTGTTGATCCTTAATGCTGCTTGAATTTTTTTGTTGATGAACCAGTATGTCGGTGCTTTTGCTGTGATGACAATCCTCTTTTCTTTGGGAACAGTTGCCAACACAACTCTTGTATGATGTATGACAATTCGATTTAGAAAAAGTTGTCAATGCCACGTAACAATCCATCCTTGGAAATGTTGCTACGATGAAGCAACAATCT